ATCCATACAGTGTTTCATAGATGTGCATATGTCTGCCACTTTTATAATTTCTTAATGGACATGAGGATAGTATTATCTGTACACTTTCGGGACCTAAGTGTCCATAGGGTAATCTTCATGTGTATATGATGCAGGCATGATTCTGAAAGTACTGAAAAGATGAAGTATTTTCCCTTAGACAAAATAATGTCTTATTTTGCTTAATTCTTTCATTTTCAGAATTTATGTGAATGTGTTATAGATGTAAGATCAAGTAGAGAAATTATTATACTTATAGGCAAAACCATTTTAATTGCCATTTGTAGTAAAAACTACTTCTGCAATAATAGTATCAAGGAAATTGCTGGATAATTCCCACCTTGGGTTATGGTATAACTACACCAAGTCAGTAGTTGACAACCAGTAGAATATAAGAGACAGAAAGACATTTGTTGTGTATCTAAATAGTGTGGAGTGTGAAAAAAAAAAAAAAGAAAAAAACTACAGGATAAAATAAAATGATATGTTTATTGAAAATATATTTTCCCAAGCCAGTATGTTTAATTTAACTATTATTATTAGCACTTCATTTTTTTATTAACAGCCTTAATGAGATATAATTTACATTCCTATGGTACCTCTTATGGTATGTGTACAATTCATTTTTCTTATATTCAGACTTGTGCAACCATCGCAATTTATGTTTTTATTGACTGAAAATATTGACTGAAAAAGGAACCCTATACCCATTAGCAGTCATTCTATATTCACCCACCTTCCCTACCATTAATCTACATTCAATACCTTTTGATTTTCCTATTCTAGACATTTTACATGTATGGACTCATACAGTATGTGGCCTTTTGTTCCTGAAAGCTATCACTTACCATATATTTAGAATTTACTCATGTTATAGAATGTATCAGTACTTGCTTTTTCTTTCGTGGCTGTTATATACACGATCATGCTTTGTTTACCCACTCAACAGCTGATGGACATTGCGGTTTTCAGTTTTTGACAATTAAATATTCCATGAACATTCCTTTTATGGACAATATATTATCAATCTTCTTTGGTATATATTTAGGAATAGAAATGCTGGGTTGTATTGTAACTATGTTTAAGTTTTTGAGGAACTGCTAGATTGTTTTCCAAATCAGTTGTACGCATTTAAATCTTCACCAACAATGTGTTAGAATTCTGATTTTTTTTTCTTTCTTGCCAACCCTTATTTTTCATATCTTTTATTATAGTCATCCTAGTGGGTGTGAAGTGGTATCTCATTGTTTTGACATATATTTCTCTAATGACTAAAGATGTGGAGAATATTTTTATTGCTTTCCATTTGTCATCTTTGTAAAAATGCCTATTCAAAATCTTTCCCAACTTTATAGGTGGATTACATGTCTTTTATTGTTGAGTTGGAAAAGTTCTTTATATATCCAGAATGTAAGTTCATTGTTAGAGATGCAACTTGCAACTATTTTCTCCTATTGCTTTATTTATGGTATCTTTTGTAGCACAAAGATCTTTAATTTTGATAAAGCTTTTTTTGTCACATGTGCTTTTAATGTCAGAGTAAGCAATCATTGATAGACTCAGTAATGAAGGTTGTGCCATTTTTTTCTTGTAGGTATTTTATGCTCTTACATTTAGGTCTCTAATCCATCAAGTTATTTTTATTTATGGTGAGAGTTTAGGGTCCAAACTCATTCTTTAGCATGTGATTATCCAGTTTTCCCAGCACCATTTTTTGAAGACCTCTCTCCCACCCACACACACACAGGATGGTCTTTGTACCTTACTGAAAATAAGTTGATCTACATCTGTATGCCAGTACCACACTGTCTTGATTAATGTTTCTTTGTAGTAAATTCTGAAATCAGGAACTATGAGTGCTCCTATTTTGTTCTTTTTTCAAGATTGCTTTTGTTCTTCTGGGGCCCTAGCAATTCCATATGAATTACCAATTTCTATAAATAAGTTATCTGCAATTTTGATAGGAATTGCATTAAATTGTTATATCAGTGGGGTTATTACCATCTTAGGTCTTCTGACCCATGAATGTGGAATGTTTGTGTAATTTCTTTCAACTGCGTTTTATAATTTTCAGAATGAGTTTTACACTTTTTTGTTGTCCAAGTGGTTTGTTGGTTTCCATACTATTATAAAAAAAAGTGCTTTCTTAGTTTCATTTTCATATTGTTCACTGCTAGAGTAGGATATTAATTTGTCAGGAAAATCATGATGTATTTTTGTATGCAAAAAATGTGTCATGACTTTCCCAATAACTGATTTCTATATATTGATCTTTTACCCTGCAACCTTGTTCTACTTACCAGTTCTCTGCATGTATATATTTCCTATATATGAAAGTCATAATAGTTTTATTTATATTCTAATATGGATGAATTTTCTTGAAATTTCAGTGTGAAATTCACTGCCATTTTGCAACTGGCTAAAATGTCTAGTCCTATCTTGAATAAGAGTAGTGAGAGCACACATTTTTGTTTACTTGAGGTGTCTTCTACTAGAACGAGGAAGTTCCCTTTTATTTCTACTTTAGTATTGTAATACCAAAAGCATTGTTCATGGGATTGCTTTGTATTATTTGTTACAAGTGTGTATAAGTATCTGCTCTCAAAATTTCAGTTAAGATAATCCTTTCCATGGCATGTGTATGTGTGTGGTGGGAGGGTGTGTTTGGTGTTGTCAGACAAGGTATCACTGCACTGTGATCTCCCTGCCTTCCTTTTAAGAAGCAGGGATTACAAGTAAACACCAATGTGCTAGCATTTTAGAGTAGGTTGAGAAGCAAACCTGTTTTCTCTTATGGCCTCAGCCTGCCAAGTAGCAGCATCTAGAACACACACTATCACACCTGGGTTGTAATTCCTTATTTTAAGTGATAGTTTCAAATCTCTCCTCCCTATACACTATACTATGCATTATGCTTAATCATAACAATTTTTTAATCATAAGAATTTTTCCATTCTCTTAAAATCAATATGGACTCCCACTAAATAGCTACGCCAGAATCCCCCTAACATTACTACCATGGAAGTTTGGCTCAAGTAAATTTTTATCTAGGAGTCTTGATTATTGATTAAAAGCCATTTTCTGTTCTGATGAAGCTTAACTTTCAGAGGACTTGGATAAAATACTTTCATTGAGGACCAACCAACAATTGGGCATTGTGTCCCTCCTCAAATTTATGACCATTACCATGCTTATGAATCATTTTTCACTTTGTGCAACAATTTTGGTCACCTTTCTCACTTGCCAGGAAAAAAGAAACAAACATAGGCCCAGCTCAGATTTTATGATCAGTGACTCTGGTTCCCTTGTATAAAATTTTCTGCAGCCTCTCTCTACCATTCTAATTGTGCTGCTGATTTTCGTTTTCAGTCTATTTTGAACTGAGAGAGAAAACATGACCCTCCATGGGTATTTTCATCAATCCTCCCCTGCCCCCCCCCAAAAAAAAAAAAAACCTGAGCAAATGTGCCAGGGTCTCAGTGGTTTATCTCTCTTACAATTCACAAAAAGGATCAATTTCCAGTCACCCAGCTCCTAAATCACTTGTTATTACAGGATAGCTAACTCAACATAGGTTCCAGTACCAAATACTCAGTTTCTAATTTGGTCTCTAACAATATGGAAATCCTAAGGTCTTGAGCACCACCAATATAATTCAGAAGATTATAAGAATATTTTATAGGGTAATCTTTTTTCTTGTAACATCATTTGACTTTTTGATGGAGTTCTACTTATATACACTGAAACTTTTGCAAATACATGAGTTCTCTAATTTTCTGTATATATTTGTTATACTTTTTCATGTCTAGAAACAATAAATTAGGGTCAAGGCAAAAGCTAAACAATATATATTGAGAGAAAATGAAAATTCTCATTGATAGTCTTTTTAAAATAGGTAAACAAAGAAATGTGGACCATATTAGCACATAAACTTGGTGACAATGCATACAAGCCATGGAGGGTACCCTTTTATGAGACTCCTGGAAGTCCAGTGAAAACCTATGTTTAAGGAGGAACACTGCCCACCATTAGTCACTTTCTAACAGGATAGTTGTTATCAGATGGGGAGATTAGCATTGTGTTGTGTTGCTTGGTTCTAGGTTCCAGATTCTTAAGATTAGAGAGAGACCTATTTCAAGAAGCAAATAAAGCCACAGCTGCAGAAAAGTATGGAAAAGAAAGGTTTCAATCAGTATGCAGAGAGAGGTCTGAGCAGACAGGTTGCTAGGTGGCAACTGCATGGGGAATGGATTTATTACTTTTACTGTGGGGTCTTGTCATGAATACCTAGGAGGGGAGATCTGTCACTGTAGCCCTCTAATGTTTATCTCCACAGGCTTTTGTTGTGTGTGTGTACTTCTGGTCATATGTGTACCTAGTGTGGACAGTTCTGCTCATACCAATCTAGTGCCACTGGTGGTAGGTGAAGTATCAGTCAAGCTATCTGGGATGGTTCCTGTGTGGACATGTGTCGCTGCAGAACACAGTTATATTCTCCAGGTTCTCTAATGACAACATAGGCAGTAAAACTCAGTTAATTTTCCTCCCCTGGGCACCAGGGTTCTGGCTGTAACCCCTGACAATAATGAGTTAGATGTCCTTTTTGTTGGTGTCTTGGAATTTCCTGCCCATATCTCACTCTCTATACATAGTGTCTGAGAAAGAGACCCCTGATAGGGTCTCACATGCCACAATCTCCCTTTCTCAGCCCTCAAGCTCCTAAGGATCCTAGGTCCCCTTGGGCTTGGCTGGTCTGTTTTCAGCCTAATTCAAGGATCCAAATCTGTGGTTGACCATATGGCTTCTAGCACTGCCAGGCATTTGCTTTATTGCTAAGCCACCGTAGCTGGGTTACTAGTCATTTACAATAATCTATATGACTTTAGGAAATAGGAATATCTATATTTTCAATGGAAAGGCCTGAGGTTATACAAACAAGCCACAAACAGGTAGTAAACGGCAGAGTGGCACTTCGCACCTACCTTTCTGATTTCAGTGTGTGTGCACTCTCTATGGCATCTCACTGGCAGTTTATGAATCATTACCAAACAAGGAAAGAGCTGAACTAAAATATCTGAAAAGACAATGAGAAAATAATGAAAACATTGAGGTTAATTAAGAAATCTCTGAGACCAGCAGACGGCTTAATGTTTACATCACTGGACTCCCATGTGGCTGACCATGGTTTGAAATTCACCCTGGGCACATGTATGTGTGTGCCCAGAATCCCAAGAGGAGAATGGAGGAGAAGGGACTGCGGCATGGCCATCCCCCTAGGGCGTGATTTCTCACTTTCTCTCTCTCTCTGGGCAAGTACATACCCTATAGCAAAAACCTCTTTTTAAGAAACCAAATAAATTTTTTTTAATAAAAAAGACAAGGAACTTCAAGAAGTAGTCATTTAAATGAGAAATATTTATTTACTATAACTAAGGTAATTAATTAGGGCGAGGACTGACCATTGAAAAATGATGGTGGAATAATTGGATAACAATAAACTAAGACTAAAATGAACCTTAGTTAGTTTTTACCAGCTAAGACTTGAAATGCATCAGACTAAAACATGACAGAAAATAACAAAATCTCTGTGACCTTGAATGAGGCAAAGATTTCCTAGGACCCAGATAGCATAAACCAGAGAAAATTTGATAAATTATACTACATCTAAATTAAAATCTTTGGGAGTGAATTCTATTGCAAATAAGTTATATTTTAAAACATGAATTAAAGAAAAATTTCCTGTAAATGTCAGTCTAAAGGCAGTGAGTATACAAAGAATAAAGCAATACTTCTTTCTCTCAAGGAATTTATAGTTTCATGATAACCATCTAGACAAATAAGCAGTAGATGCTGAGGGATATAGAGGTATATCATAAGCACTTTGAGAAGCAACCAATTGTGCCTTGTGAGAGAATACAGAAATGGAGCCAAATAGTTTGAGGAATTTAGTACATAATAAAGATGACATGTGCATATCAGTGATAAAAAAACCTGATCATTCAATAACAATAAATTATCAGTTTTTATGCTCTCACAGTAATACAAGGTGTTATTTAAGTCTTTCCAAAATAATTTGAGCTATACAATTCAATAAGGCATGTATTAATATCACCCCTACTTTGTAAGTAAGAAAATGTTAGGTAACTTGCCCAAAGTCACATGAGTATAAAAAAAGGAACAATGAAAAAGTGCCATAGTATCTGAATGGAAAACTCTCTTAGTCATCACAAATTTCAGAAGTCATAAAAATTATTGATAAAATAGAATTTAAAAATACTGCATAACAAAGTACTTTATAGAAAGATGACACAATTGTGAAAGATTTTTTTATAAATAATCATAAATATAAGAACTAATTTATTTAGACTATAAATATTTAATACCAGTGAGTAAAGGATAAGAACTTCACTCTAGAAAAGTAGATCACTGTTCTACACTTACAATTAAAAAAATGCAAAGTAGGGACCAGCAGTTGGCATAATGGCTATGTTGCTGAACTCCCATGTAGTTGACCGTGGTTCAAGTCCCAGACTTGGTGGCTTAAACTCACGCCAGGCATGAGTGCATGCATGCCCAAGATCCCAAGAAGAGAATGGAGGAGAAGGGACTGTGGAGTGGCCATCCCCCCTGGGGGGGGTGATTTTTTGCTTTCTGTCTCTCTCACTCTCTCTAGTGATCACATGTGCCCTACAGCAAAAACCTCTCCAAAAAATCAAAAAAAAAAAAATGCAAGCTAGGGGCCAGCAGGTGGAGTGGAGATTAATACTTTGTATCCCACATGGCAAACCACTGTTCAAATTCCAGACCTGACAGCTTAAAAGAAATTATGCTTGGTATGTGCACACACCCCCCAAAATCCCTAGAGGATAATGGAGAAGGGATTGAGGCATAGCCATACCCCCTGGGGAGTAATTTCTCTCTCTCTCTGGTCAAGTATATATACCCTCTGGCAAAAACAAACAAGCAAACAAACAAAAAACACTAAACTAAGTAAGATATTGCTCTTTAGCAGAGTTACAAAGTTGAAAAAGTAATATGTTACTGTGCCATGGGGCAACATGTATAGTTTATACTTCAATGGTGGTGTTTGAAAATAGTGGAGTGTACAAAAGGCAACTTGTTATATCCAAAAGAATACATATCCAAAGGAATCCATAACATACTGCTTGTAATAGTACATTAAGAATAAGAAAAAACTAAAATTCCATCATAGGGTACCTAACAAAAAAAATTATCAACAGCTATCAAGTTGTTTGGGCTCAACCCTTGTTTGGGCTCAACCCTATGGCTAGTAGTTAAGGGAGGTGCATCCAATGTGGACAACCATATGATCTGAATCCTGGTGGCAGCCTGAAAACCATACTGGGCATGTGTGACTGTGCTCTCAAAATCCTGATGAATAGAGAAATGGAGAAGGAAATGTGACAGGACCATACGCCATTGGGGGGTGATTTCTCCTTTCCAACTCTCTGTCTTTGGTAAAAGCACATATATTCTGGCAAAATTAAACATTTTTTGATACCTATCTAAACATAAACACACAAAAAAGTCACCTAGAAGGGAAACTTAAGCTGCACTCTGTGCTCCACGGCCTCATTCTGCAGCTGAGAGAAGGGTAATGTCTACCAAATTCTGACAAAAGAACATTGTATCCATGAATGTTATGTCTGTTGAAGACATTTGTCAAATACAAAATACTCGGGAAAAAGTAAAACTGCTAGACAACAAATCCAATCACTTAAGTGGTGAATCTAAACAAAAACTCAGTAAGAAATATGTCATACTAAATTGGTTTACAATTAGCATTGATTTATGTAAACAGAAATAATACCAAACTCTGAGAATAATATTTATAGAACATTAAAAAAAGCTATATCCACCTATAATATAAAATTATAATTTTAATACTAATATTTAAAAATTTGTAGTGAGAGTGAGAGGCAATATGGAATAGTATATTTGTAGAGGATGAGATATATGACAAATACGAATGTCTATCTCTTACAATAAACTATTAAAGCAAATATCCTAGAATTTTAAGCATTGCAAGTTCTTAGTAATAATAAGTAGAATTGGCACTTTTTTCTATGATTTCATAAATCTCTAAAAATGTTGAACCCTAAAATACAACTGCCTTATTTTTATTTCAGTTTCAATATCAATTAACTTAAATCGGATTGAAAACTTTAGCTTTCGCTATGCATATATCAATAAATAGCCATAAAGATCAACAAAGAGATCATGCACTTCATACACCTGAAAAAAATCGATTTATATTTACATATAAATTATAAATATAGAATATATAAATAGATATCTTTCTATAAAACAGGACTGGCTCATATATAAATAAGCCAGTATCTATATATGTAGGTATTTTAAATAGAGAGTAAGTCCCCCTTCTGGCATCTTTAAGTATCATTTCAACATTGCTGGAGAAATTACACTCCGGTGTGTGAAACTACAGGATTTATTACACTCACAGGGCCTAGAGGCAGGAAGCCTGGCAAGCCTCACAGGAACTCCCAGGCAGCAAGCTCAACTAGGCAGGTGGTGATCTATACAGAGAATGAGGACCAAGGGCAAATGCCTCAACTGGGGGTCAGGGTGAGGTGCACAAAAATATATCCATGAGGGAAATTCATTGCTCTGTTTGACTGTCACCTGGGTGAGAAACTTGAGGGGATGCTGAGATTTCAGGAAAGCAGGAAGTTTAGAAATTTTCCAATATAATATATGTATGTCTCTCTCTCCTCATGCATTTATATATTAATCAGAAGTGCTTAAGGAAAAAATTCTGTTCCATTTCTATCATTTTCTGTCTCTATTAACAAAACATACTTAACACAGTGGGTTGTCAGAAAAGTCATGACGTATTTTTTTCTATCTTTTTCTGTGCACGAATGCATCCCGACTTTTCCAATAACCCAATAGGTCAATACGGTAACAGATAAAAATCACAGACTCTTAAATCAAAATGATAATGGGTCTAGTCCTGGTTTCTCCAAAAATTTAAATCCATGACCTTGTCATTTTTAAGCTTCATGGGTACCGGTTGTTCTATTTGTAAAGTTGGGCTAATAATATTACCTCTCTCCTAGTGCTAACACAAGGATGGTCCTATGCAAAGTGCTAAGCATAGAGCCTGACGTAGGCTAAATGCTTATGGAGAGTTTGCAGCAGTGATGGGATAGAGCACGCTCACAATGCTACACTCTACTCTCTGTCACCAAGGTGTGTATTAAAATCTCAAGAGAAGAAACACAAAGTTTGACAAAGCTTTCAGACTAGTCTGATCCTCTTTGTGTCCCTTCACTTGAGAATTACTGCTATTAAGAGTTTAAATCAGAAGCTATGATTTTATGATACTCTTAAAAAAACACCCTTTGAGGGAGACTTTTTGTTTATTCATCCATTTTTTTTTTATCTACATTGTCTCAGCATAGCAATAAATAAAATATAAGTGACAGGGAATAATCACTAAAGTTATTTTTAGCTATTGAATTGCACTTCAAAATTATTTTTTTCTGATTAATTTTTATTTCAATTATTCCATTCTATGTCCTGAAAAATTTCTAATTAGCTACCTGGGAAACAACCCTCTCCACCTCATTTTTTTGCCACTTTACTAATCATCTGGATTTGTCTCAATGCAGTATTTATTCACAGTCTTCTCTGGCCTATACTTGGTATTTCAAGAGCTGGCATTTCTCTTGCTTGTCTCTGGACACTAATATTTAATCATATAATCATAGGAACTGGAGATGGATGAGACCTAACAGTTCACTCTCCATCTGCCTGCCAAACCTGCTGCTGTTTTCTCCATCATTTGGAATTGATTTTTACAAAGCTGATGATTTATCCACTAACATAATTTTAAATGCCATATTTTTCCACATGTAACAGAAATATCTACTACCGAAGTTTTATGTTCATTCCATTACTGTGATTTTAAATGAGTTCACCTCTAATAACTGGGTACTTGTGAGAAGAAAAAAAGAAATGTATGTATAGACAGAGTGCCCCCAAATTACCAGTTATTGTGGATGGTCTAGTGCACAAAATCAAACAAAT